TTTATATAATACGTTCTGTTGATGAGACAGGGGCCTATTACAAGTAAATAGCAGAGGAATTACAGCACTCCCCACTGGCTGGTGGTCGTAGAGTGGTTCCTGAGCTTCTCTCCCGGAGCCCCGTTGGGGAAGCCTACTTCCTAGTGTATGTGACTGCTCACTTATAGACGTGAGCTAAGTGTGCCTATTTGGGAAGGATAAGGATTGCTACCCTCTTTCCAGGTGGACCCGCACGATCACGGTTTTCCTGGAAAGACTCGGCTGGGATGGGTTTTGCTCCAACCCCCTTTCGTGTTCACAATCTCCTGGGAGGGAGGTGAACAGTTACAGGGGGGGACCGCAGGACGAATACACTTTTGAGGGTGCAGGTCCCTAGGCCAGAGCGAAAAAGGAAAAATAGTAGTAGAAGGAAAAGAGCTCAAACCACGCCGGAATATCGCGCTATAACTGCTCTCCAGCTGGAGTGTGGGTCACTCACACCACCAGTGGGGAGGGCAAGCTAATGCTCGATAAACCGAGAACGCTCGTGAGTTGTTGTGGACGATGACAGTCGTGGGTGGTCCGGTCCGGGAAGATGGCCAACAATGGCACAAGGGAGAGGGCGGTCTTCACAGTTCCGGGTCCAGCAGGAGGTCTTGTTGAGAGATCTTCTTAGTTCAGGAGCGATGTGAGTGTCTCTGCCAGGCATGGCCGTATTTATACAATTTACGAGGATCAGGATTTGGGGTGAGCGTAGCGAGAGGGCCAATCACAGCGGCTTAAGCGTAAGGTGTGAAACGCTCTGATCCTGAGCTGGAGGTTGAAGGTCGAGACTAGGTCGGCGATCGTACCTCTACGTCCACTGCATAGACCTAGTCTCTCGGCGTAGCTGGCTGTACGCTGATTGGCTGGTAGGCGCGCGGCCGGAGCTCAGTTGGAAGTTGTAGGGGAGAGGAGCCACTACAAGGTGCCCTATGAATGAAGCTGTGTTACAGCCAAGACTGATATTTGACCACATGATACAGTAACGATGAAGGGATTAATGGGTACACTGCATCATGTTACTGACCTGATCTGATGCAATGTCAGGGTCACCCATTGTTGGGTGAGGGATAGTGGATCTCATGACCTGAAGATGTCTTCAATAATGATGAGCAAAGGTATTTTTGAGGCGCAAGGCTGCTAGCAAAAGAGTGTACGGGTATAAACTTTTAGTCATAAAATCTGCTCTAATTGTGTTAGAGAAATTTATTTTGTACCGTTGTATACATGGAAATGCATTCTTGATGAATTATTTTTGACCTATGATATATATACAATATAGTATATGAAGTGTACAGGTATTAATGGTAATTTATGAGAATACCGTTACCACCAGAAGGGGCTGTTCGAATTTGTCCATTTTTTCCACAGATATTCTTGTCATCTTACCAATGTACAATATTAATTAAGTAGAGGCACTGTACTTTTAAAAGGCAACAGCTTATTATTTCAATTATGTCTCCCCGATCATAAATCACCCATAGTGGGCAGGGCATGAACGATGAGGGAAATTGCAGGGCAAAACAGTGAAAAACTGTGACACACTACGACTACAGCCACTCTCAACTTACGATCACCGGACATGCGACTGCCGTCGCATTCAAAAATTTTCAAATTACTTATTTTTGGGTTCCCGACGTTATTGATTGCGCTGTGTACAAACAAAATTTTCATTTGTAATTCCACTTAAAATGGCTGGCATGCTTAAAAGTGAGAGTTTAGTGGTGCTGAGAAGAAAAAGAGACACCCATTTTAGATTTTCTATGTATTATTTTCGCATTTTCGACTTGGGACCAATTTGACTTAGGACCTGTAATTGGGTCCCTAACTCGCCGTGGGGAGACTGTATATCCTTTCACACTAGCCTGGCCTTAACCCTTTAGGTGCGTGAATTAAATTTCACCGGTTCAAAAAGTGTCAATTATGCCATAAAAATGAATTTCATATAATCACATTTTCTATGTTTTTTCTAGAGAACTTTTAGTATATTTTCCAAATCTGGAAAAAAATTCACATATGTGTGTGCAAATTTTAGAAAAATGACATTTATGCCAAGAAATGCAGGAAATTGGTATAAATCAATGCTCTGATATATAACCAAATAAATTTAATCAATTTGGTTCTCAATAACAAATTCTAGATATATTATTACATGTTAGATAATATCAACAAATAGTACAAAAAATCAGCTATAAATTTAATTTAGAAGCCTCCTGCGCATAATACATAATCATGCAGCTCCAGGCAAATATGTAAATCAAATGACATGTCTGATGCATGCATGTCATTTACATATTATCATTTACCAATTTCTGTTACTTATGACATATTTTAGTCATAATTGCAGTTATTTTCAGTTTTCTTATACTTTGCACTTGGTGCGATGCTCCTCAAAAACAGTTGCAATACACAATGGTGGCTTTGCAACACATTTCGTGTAACATACTAACTACATACAGCACACTCTGAAGGAGGTAGTATGCTATAACTTACCAGGTTTGGTGCAGACTTTTTGTTTCAGTTTATTGTTCCTGAGAGAGAGTGGTAGCTGTACCAACCTCAAAATCTGTTGAATTGTTCTCCTGGGCCTCTTTTTCTTTAGAATATATTACCCTTGCAGCAACCCATCTATTACGACATTTTTCCTTAAAATGTCCTCTGTGACATCTTCCTTCAAAGGATTTTTGTATGTTATCTTAAATCTAATAATTGACTAGTGCTGTTTTAAGCAAAGCCTTACAGTCTGGTACCCTTTTTATGTCTCAGAATTCAAAAGGATGGTTGAGCACAACTGGTCCAAATTTGTCCACCTCCCATATGTTTTGTCTTACCGCCTGAATCTTTGGTTTTACAGTCCTCAAACCTGTTTTTGCATGTACTTCACCACCAGTTACTCCTACATTTACCCACCGTGGCCAACATGACTTTACCGTGTCTTGCCATGTACGTACAAGCATTGTTTTGTTGCATTCTCCCCAGTTGGTGGTGCCTTTGGTTTCATATTGCTGGTTTCTGAGCCAATCCCTTTCTGTTTGCACGTGCTGTGCCATGCACTATTTATTCACTCTAAAATTTCATACAACTGTACACTTGGTGTGTCCTTCTATCCCTGATTTTCATAGCCTTTATATCAATCTTTTACTACTTCCATTTAAATCAAGTGCTCTTGTGTGCTTCACCATATATATCTGAAATCTTGAAAAGCCAGTATGGAGTCACAGACTAGGTTTCTTCCCCATTTGTACCCTAGGTTTACTAGGCAGGTACTGTTTCAAAAGTCTCCCCTATGAATTTGAAACACGCTCTCATCACATCATTTCTTTGTTGGGATATAAGCAAGCAGCTTATATCATGTTACTTACCAGGTCAATTGGTTTTACAACTTTGAATAAATATATCAGGAATCTCTTCCTTTCACCTTGGTCCTCATTATTAGCCAAAATGTACAAAAGCGACTTTAGTAGCATGTACGTTCCCTAGAAAAATATTACAAGCAGGTGTTCGTGTAAGCCAGCGGGAATCCTGAAAATATAAAACATGAACCAGTCCATTCCATTCCATTGCTACCATGACTGCCTTCCTGGGAATGTACATCCTTCCACTGCCTCAACCTCGACCTTCTAGGTAATTCTCCTATTTCATCTAACCTTTTAACCCCGCTTGCCGCGGTTTGTCTCATATAAGGTCTTAATTCAGCATGGGAAAAAAATTGGTGAAACATTGGTATGGATTCAGATTATCAAAACCCTGTACACTTGGCTGACCAGTGAAAGCAGGAATGTCTAGAATCTGGGTAATTCTGTCCTTTAAAACCTCCTTGTCTTTTGCCATGTATAATCTCGTGTACCTGGGGTGGTTCAGGTGTACCTGGCCTACTACGTGGCTGTGAATCTGGTGAACTTGCCCTAAGTAGATGGAGCTGGTGAACTGTCCTATGTATACGTGCAGCTGGTGATCTGTCCCTATGTAAACTGTCCCTATGTATACGGCAGCTGGTGATCTGTCCCTATGTATACGTGCAGCTGGTGAACTGTCCCTATGTATACGCAGCAGCTGGTGATCTGTCCCTATGTATACGCAGCTGGTGATCTGTCCTTTGGCGTGGGCAGCTGGTGAACTGTCCCTATGTATACGCAGCAGCTGGTGATCTGTCCCTTGCGTATACGCGGCAGCTGGTGAACTGTCCCTGCGCGCAGCTGGTGATCTGTCCCGCAGCCAGGATCTGTCCCGTATACGTTCAGTGATCTTCCGGCGCAGCTTGAGCGGCTGGTACTTGGACGTGGTGATGTGTCGTCCTCAGCAGTGTCATCAACAGCAGAGACAGCAGCCTGAGTAACAACATAATTAGGATCATCTACACGTTCTGCCTCCTCCTCACTGTCAGAAGCTTCAAATAATGCAGCTTGGATCTCCCTGTCAGTCCTAAGCTTTCTTTTCTTACCACTCATGATTACTGTGGGATAAAAAAATTGGAAAACATGAACACTAACATCAAAAACTTCTTAGCTGTCAATGTCAATGTAACTATAACAATAAAATAATAAATCGATTACAAATAATAAATTATTACAGTAAACAAGTAAATAAGAAAATCCCAATGAATTCCATGATGAATAAACGAAATAAATATAAGCGATGAAAATCTAATTAGATATTATAGGTTTCCTCGATGTGAAATTCTAAGACTGTGTGAAGATTTAGATCCATTTTTAAGACGTAGAACGAGAAGATCTCATGCTGTTCCCATACACACGCAAGTGTTAGTTGCCTTAAGATTTTACGCCAGTGGAACCTTTCAACATGTACTTGGAGATACAGCTGAAGCTGTAGCAGGGACAGGCCAAGCAGTCCGAGCCAATGTAGTCCGTAATTGGTTTAATTGATGAATTAAAATCAAATATCAATTCACCAATACATTTTTCCTCTGTTTAAATAGTATTTTTTAGTGCAGTATTCAGAGGTAATGCGAATAAAGCGTACATTGATTAAACTTTTATTTTCAATATACAGTACTGGACATACTAAAATGAACTTCTTTATAGAAATTAAATGGCTTTCTTTTACCTTAATAATATATGTACTATATCCTTGAGCAAATTTGATTCCAATACAGTATACTTTTAATACTACTAAATACCAAAGGCACTAAAGTTTGTGAAACAAAAAATCCTTATATAAAACATTTTTGAGAAATTGAAACAATAAAAAAATATTGCTACTGTTTGCATCTTAAACTACACAAATTGACATGGGTCACCACATCGTTGTGAAAAAATAATACAACTACTGTTATTTGTTGCAATTTTTTAGATTTAAGAATGGAATACAGTATAATTTTCATGTCTAGAATTACCTGCATCAATACCCGTAAATTAAAAGAAACTTGTAACCCAATACTGTACTACTATAAGTAATAAAGAAAAAATAGAATACTCTTTGCTTGTTAAGCTATAAAATGTAACATGAGACAGCACATCCTTATGAAAGAACCAATGCAACAACTTGCGCTTTGGAGACTAATGTGTGTTAAATAGCAGCGATTACAGTAGGCTGTTGGTGAATTTGCACCATTATTTCTGTTTCAACCTACTTGAATCGTACTTCGCAAACTAATAAATAAAACACGTTGAACTGGAAATTGACTACGTCTTACAAAATAAAGGAACCTTTAAAAAATAAAAATAAGTACATGAGCCTGTTTTCAAACACATAATTTTGAATGTGGTAGGAACTTTTACCCAAAACCTGGGTAAACATTACCCGTAGTACCACTGCAACACATGTTATGAGTTAACAAATGTGTGTCTTTCACTTAACTTCGTGATTTTAATGAACTTATGGAGAGATAAATATTCGTTACATTTTCATGACTAGTATAGGCTGCAAGTGAAAGTTACACAATTTTTGAACATGCCGTCTTCCTTCATAACAATCACTCAAAGGGAAATTTATAATAAGTGTTTGATGACTGTTCAACTACGCTATTAACACATTTACCAAAAGTAAAGGACTTACCTAAGTAAGCAACTACATATACACATACCATAAACACAGCATCATAGGATAGGATTTTTCGACTGCATAACTTTTGCAATGCATAGCATTGCAAAAGTTATGCACTCGGTGTTAGCTACAAGCTGTAAAAAACTGTCCCTCATTTGTGTTTGAACACGAAGCATCTCTGGAAGATGATCTTCATCTTTTCAGGCAGAAGAGGTTCGTGGCCTCCTGCCACTTCTGATCGTACTTGGCATTGGAGATGAACCCAGTTCATCAGTGTAATCACCAGTTACAGTTGACCTAACAGCTGTGGCAGAAGGGGTACTAGACCTACTTCGCTGTTCCGTGGTAGCAGCAATAGGTTGACGAGTATTGCTTGAACTACATGTTTCTACCTCATATGTTCCGGATGATGAAAATCCAGGAATGTTTGTAGGTGCTGAAGTTTCAGGTTCTAAATGCACAATGGGTACTGTGATATCATGTTCCTGTATATCCTCATTCAGAATGAGGGTTATAGAATCATCTTTCTCTTGAACGGGCCGAAACATAAATTCCTCTCGGAAACAACTAGCCGTAAACCTAGCTCCTGAGGGTCCGGGGGTTGGTTCTCTTTCTTCTTCTGGAAAGAAATGTAGTATAATAGGTTGGTTGAAGTTTATGTTAAGAGTATAATTAAAATATTACACTGTATTTCCAAATATATAAAAGCTTTTAGGAAAAATAATGGTTTGAAAAATAGTGTTGACCATCTAAATATATTTGTTTAAAATATTTTTAAATCTAAATATCAACTAGGCGTTAAATTTCTTATATTTGCATTTCTCAATTTTGTCCATTAACATACGAGTTATAACAACATTTAATATATAACTTAGGGAAGCAATAAACAAGCTAGAAATGAAACCAACTTACTAGTGGTTATTTTTCAAAATTATATAAAAATCAGTATAGTGTACAGTATTTCCAAATCAAGATGTGAAAAAATGTCTCCAAACGTTTTTTTTTTAAATAAAAAACAGACAGAAAAGAACAAAATATATCGGGGTTGGAAAAGTATTTTGACTGAATTACCATTAATAGGTTCTTCACTTTCAACATCCCCTGGAATCCCATGTATAGAGGCTGGATCTAATAGTTGAAGAATTGCTTCTTCAATTGCAGTGTATGTAATTTCAATTTGGGGGCCGCCACCTTGAAGAGAAAAAATAAATAATAACTCTTACTGTGAGCTGTGGTTACATACACTATACGCTAACTGTTATACTTGGCAGAAATCATAGTTACAAAGGAATCTACTGAAATAGTTCCAAACATTATAACCTAACCTATCATTGTAGCTGTAGCCACAAAAATTCTCCTTTATCTATGTCAAAAGTTAATTAGATTTAAGGTAACAAACAATAAATGGTAAAATAAGTAAAAAAAAATAGTCGCAGCCAGAAATTTTCAACCTGTATTAGTTGTAAACTCATAGGATAGAACATCCTTGCCTATAAGCCTTACAAAGTAAGATTCACATATTAATGTATACCAAATATGAATATAAATCTATTGATGAATGAAAATTAACGACATAAAAAAGAGGAATTATATGGTAAGCTACATATTATGACCTTCATTACCGTCGGAAATAACGTAATTATTAATAAGTAGTTTATAACAGTAACCAAACCTACCTAACCTAACTTCCTTTACCAACGGGAGGCCTCCGCCGCCCTGCCACACAAACTCATATTAACTATCTCTGTTCCACGTCAGTTGCGACACAATGACAAATGTCTTAAAATTGTGTAAACTATATGATAGGTATAATCAGATTCAGATTTGCCCCCGAGGGGGCTAGTTTATTGGGCACCCCCTTACATCCTGTGCAAGGTGAAGCGCAGAAGCGTTTACAGTGCCCAACAGGGAAGTATGAAAAGTTCATACTTGCCTTTATGACTCGTACATTAAGGGCGTAAAAGCCTATAGGGTCATAGGTTCTGTCAAGTTACATAAAGTGAGAGAATGATGAGTGTGTGGGGGGAAAGTTCCCCGTACATTTTATCTGTTTATGCCAAAGTGTGGCAGGTCCCTAATAATGTCAAATGCCAGGCCTGTGACTAGGAGGAGGGATATCTGGTCTGGGAGGGAAGAGGTGTTGGTAACGGCTGGGGACCTATAGGAGGAGGTCATAGGGCAAGTGAGGATGTAGTGAGAGAGGGTGTGAGAGTCGGGTTGGCCACAAAGTTTACAAACAGTGCGGTGAGGCTCAGGGTTGCCAATGTACTCCCATAGGTACCTGTACCCGAGGCGCAGTCTCATGTATATAAGCTGTTGAGATCGAGTTAGGGATTAATATTCTTTGTAGTGGCTGTTGTCGTCACCGGTTACAGCGTCATAGTGGCATAGTGTGACGCTACCCCGTTGTTTCAGGTGTGTCCAATTTTCGTTGAATGCCTCTCGTTGTGTGGCGTGTATGCGAGATTTGAGATGATTCAGGGAGAGGGCGAGAGTGGCTTCAATATCTTCTTCTTGTGTAGCTTCTTTGGCAAGCCGATCAACAGTGTCACAGGCAGTTATTCCTATATGTGACGGGATCCAAAGAAACTTGACACGGATGTCATCAGTTTGTTCTAGCCCGGCAACGGCGGCTAGGGTGTGTTCGGTGGCAGGGGAGGAGTGGGAGGGTAATTTGAGCCTCGCTAGCGCAGAAGTGCTGTCACTGATTATAAGGAGGTTCCAGCGTTCAGTGCGAGCATAGATCGCCCCCTCATGAATGCCCGCGAGGATGGCTATGCTTTCAGCATCAGTGGAGGAGGCCCAGTCGTGGACCCTGATTTTCCTGCAGGCCTGGCGCTCAGGAATCCACACAGCTGCCCCAGCGCTGCCCAGCGTGGTAACAGACCCAACACAGTAGACGAGGATAGGAGGGTGGGAGGTCTTTAGAGAGGAAGCGACATCATTAATCTGCTCAAGGCAGTTAAGTTTGAGCATATACCTCAGTTGGGTGGATTTACGACCAGGGAAGGTGTGGACGACAACATCAACACACGGGGAGGTCCACGGCGGTAGAGGCAGATGAGTGTACTCGGGAGGGAGAGAGGTCGAGGGGGTGTAGAAGTGATAACGCAGGATGTCAGCAGCAGTGTGGACGGGCCAGAGTTGAGAGGGAGGGGGGGAAAGTAATGGGGACAGGCCGGCGCAGGAGGGTGTTAAGATGTGAGTTCAGTGAGCGCGACAGGGGAGTCGGTTGCTCACTGCGAAGAAGTTTAACACCAAGGATGGCATTGAGAGCAGTAATTCGATCGCAGACGGGAAGCAGAATTAGTTCGCGCTGCATGACTTCTATTCTGGTGGTCATAGGGCAGCCGAGGATGAGTCTCATCGCTCTGTTTTGGATTTTCTCTATGCTTTGTTTCTCGCTCTGGGAGGCAACTACAAGGACAGGAGAGGCATAATCTATGACAGCTCTGACGATGGCAATGTACATGAGACGTAGGAGATAGGTATAATAAGAAAATCCAAAAGTTGTGGGGAAATTATTGACAAGTACAGACTTCCCTGACTACCGGGTGGGAAGATATTGGAAGCATAATGTGTTGTCTAATGGTAGACCCTGCTGCCATATGGCATCACGAAAATTAGGAGCAAGTCCAAGGTTGCTGATGTGACTAAATGTGTCATTTACACACAATTGCAGGGTCGCAATTGTTTCTCGTAATATCGACAACACAACATACATACTGTATATTGATTCTCACTTTTTGTGTTTTCATTTCGGTATTTATGGTTATTTATTATTAATATTATTATTAATAAAGAGTTATTATTATTAATAGTACTAAAGAATTATTATTACAGGCCCCGACGTGGGTCAGTGACTGTGCCTGGGTTGGTTAATCCACGTAAAAAAAAAAAAAATTTAGGTTGAACGGTAAAGTTTTTACTATTTACTCACACGGAAAACTTCGAAGAACGATGTTTCTTTTAATGAATGCGCTCATATAAGGAAAATATGTGTATTCATTCACGATGGAGAGCCACCACACTACTTACTTCCTTGAGTTTACAAACACGAAAATCGTACCAAGCCTCAGAAAAACCATAGTTAAGTTTGTTTCATATTGTCAATCAATAACCACGCTAACAATATTATGACTTACCTGTTCCACCAGCATATTTCTTATCTTGTGCTGCTTTTTTCTTAACGCTAACACGAAGATCATCAGAAAACTTCCGTCGAATTTGAGTAACATTGCGGGTGACTATACCAACAGCATTCACCGCATTTAACACTTCACCCCAGGCTGGTTTTTGAGTTGAAGTGTACAACTACTTGAGTCCAACTTCCTTAAAATCATTTCTTTTCTTTTGGCTACCTCAGTCACAAGAGCGTATACTTCAGCCTCACTAAATTAGGTCGTCTCTTCTTGGCTGGTGGTCCTTCCATGTTTACAAAATAATATATCTAGGGTATACAGTGTGTCGTTCCCAAACCAGGGGAAGGGTTCTAAATGCCATGCATTAAACTCACGTTGCCCTCGCATAGGAATGTGTATCAGGATTGCGTTGTGCGTGAGGGTCGACTCCAACAGCGGGTAATAATAGTGAACCTCATTGTCATTGAAAATAGGAGTTAAATGATACTGCAACTTGGCTATTTTTAAAGCTTCAAGAAGCGTCTGCACAGGCACAAGCTTTGCGTCCACACGTCCTATCCCGGCATCTACAATGCTGTCTATTAGTTCATTTTTAGAGGTTACAATTTTATGAACTGAAATTTCAGCAGCATGCAAATATTCTGTGAAGTAAAGGAGCCATTCTAACGTCGGGATTGCTTTCTGTAACCTAGTAACAATCCTCGAAACTTGGTTAGACTCCATTATGATTGCATTAACCTTTGATTCTAGAGCAGTAATCGCTTGAAAGGTTTGAGAAATAACGCGATTCTGTCGAGATACAGCCTGAACGACAACGTTCATTCGGTCCCCCAGTTTAGCTACATCATCGGCCGTTGCCGTGCCGAACAAAGCGCTTTGGATAAGACCCACAAAATTAAAGAGACCCCTTTTCGTCGTGCCCGATAATGCACTTCTTGAGCAAGATCCGCTAGAGATGCAGGTAGATTTTTCCCCACATCAACTAGAAACTCGCGAAGGTTCTGGAGACGAAAGTGTAGAAGGTCTATAGTTTGTGAAACCACTGTCGCATTCTTCGAAGCTGTGCCGAGACTACGAAGGATGTCCAATGCCGATTGTAGTTGGCCGTCGACGTTTTCCATCCGACGCGGAAGTTGGAGTAGTGGCTGTAGTTCACACTCGACGTTCATCACGTCCTCAACTATGAGAACGTGTCCGAGAGGTGCCACAAGTGGACATTTTCGTCAACACAACGGTGCCACAACAGAGTAGAAGCAAGACACTGACGATCCAAGCCATTCCGTAAGGAATTACAAACGAGTTAACGTCTACTCGCAGAACGTAGTTTCATACAATAGTCATTTGGGACATTCTGCTTCTGAACAGTCTGTAAGGATGTATCAATCACATTATCATCAACTGGAGGTAAGACATTTATCTGGGTCTTCTTCAGACGATCCGCGTGCACGACATCTGCGATCTGTGCATTAGGCTTCCATATTTTGAATTTGTTGCCTGCTTCTTTTGAGATTATGCGGAATGGACCAGAAAGTTTGGAGTTCCTTTCAGGTTCCCGTAACATAACAGCGTCCCCAACGTTCAGTGCGATAGGTTTAGCATGTTTATGTTGTTTGATGATCATTTCGGCGCCTGACGCCGCTAGCTGCGATCGTACTCGGTTATGAATTTCTGTATAGACACGAATTTGTTTTGCCGCAAAATCATCCGTATTATATACCGGGTATGGCGCCTCTGTAAGGATGTCGTAAGGCAGACGTTTATCTGTACCATAGACAATATAGTAGGGTGTTTTGCCCGTAGAGCTATTAACTGACCCATCTATCGACGCTGCAACCTGCGGTAACCAATCCTCCCATGCGTATTGAAAACCACTAACAATTGGACGCAGTATTTCTAGGATTTTACGATTGGTTCTTTCAACAAGGCCATTAGCGTGTGGATGATAAGCTGTCACAAAAGTTTGTTTAATTCCATATTGTGCACATATATGCTCTATTAGCTCATTCTTGAACTCTGTTCCATTATCAGAGAGTAAAACTTTAGGCATAGTATATGGACATATGAGATTCATCACTAATGCATAGGCTACTGCTTCGGCCGTTTTGCATTTTAGTGGGACTAAGACCACGAACCTGGAAAAATGATCCACACACACTAAGACGTATCCTGATCCCTGATGACTCATTGGGAGTTGTAACAAGTCAACAGCGACTGTGTCAAACGGACGGTCTGGTGTAGGATATTGTAGAATCGGGGCAGGTGATCCTGTTGATCCTTTATGTTGAGCACATGCCAAACAATTAGCTATGTGTAATTCTATGTCTTTCTTCATAGTGTTCCAGAAATACTTCTTTCGTAAATCCGCTAAGCATTTATCACGACCTTGGTGACCTGCTTGTGGGACATCGTGGAACAATGTCATTACTGCTTTGCACAACGTGTCAGGTACGACTATTTGAGACACATTACCCTCGGGAGATTTTCTCGTCCTATTGAGTACGTTATGTCGTAATTCAAACTGACTTAAGGGAAGAAATAACTTGGGGAGTTTAACATCCTCGCCCTATTCGAGAACAAAAATAACAGGTGACCAATATGGGTCGCGTCGTTGCTCATCTTCCAGCTGCGAAAGAGTGAATGTTGATACAGGCATTACTGGTGCTATATTTCTTGACAGAGCGTCGGCGACAACATTCGCCCTCCCAGGTAAATACCTAAATTCGGGGTCAAACTCTTGAATTGTCAGATACCAGCGTGCTAATCTGCCCGATAAGTTTCTGCCACGGAACAGTTCGGTGACTGCCGCACGATCAGTAAAAACAGTTATCTTGTAGCCAAAGATAATGTCTTTGAACTTCTTAAGTGCCCACACAACGGCTAACGTTTCTAAATGTGTCACCGAATAACGTGTTTCGGCATCGATTAGTTTGCGACTTGCAAATGCTATCACTCTAAACTTCCCACGCGTGTCCTCTTGCACGAGCACTGCTCCGACTCCAATTCCGGGAGCGTCGGTACAAAGAGTGAAAGGTCGAGTGTAGTCTGGGAATGCTAGAACCGGGGCATTGGTTAGCGCCGTCTTCAATGCCGTAAAACTTTCCTCGCGTTCAGCATCCCATTTGAACACTGCATCTTTTTTGAGCAACCTCGTTAGGGGCGATGCTAATGTTGCATAGTCCTCGATAAAGGAACGATAATAACCCGATAATCCGAGAAAGCTACGCACACGATCATTCGAGGTAGGACGCGGGAACTGAGATACAGCTTTGACTTTATCATTAACCGTGTGTATGCCCTCACCGTCGACTACATGACCAAGGAAATGGATTCTGGATTTTAAAAACTCGCACTTTGAGAGTTTTATTTTGAGTCCTGCTGTGGAAAGTTTGGCCAAAACTTCACGCAGTTTTATCAGATGGGAATCGACGTCCTTACTGACTACTATTAGATCATCCAAATAAGCGCAGACTGTGTTACCAATTAGTCCGGCAAACAGGGTGTTGATCATTCTTTGAAATGTTAGTGGGGCATTTCTGAGACCAAATGGCATTCGTAGAAACTCAAAGTGGCCCAGAGGCGTGCTAAATGCTGCGATTTCTCGTGATTTTTCATCGAGTGGTATTTGCCAATACCCACTAAGCAAATCTAAGTTGCTAAATACTGCATTATCCGTGCCTAAGGATTGCAATATGTCGCTCAAGATAGGCATTGGGTACCTATCGGGGATTGTTTGATCATTTACGCGCCTGAAATCTACGACAAGGCGCCATCCGCCATCCTTTTTCGGGACGAGGAATAATGGGCTATTAAAGGGGGATTTTGAGTGTCTAATGACATTCTCATCTAACATACCCTGTACCATATCTTGCACTACAGTGCACTGGCTATGAGGTAGTCTATAAGCTGTTACGTAAATAGGGTCGGTTCCTTCCTTTAATGCTATATGATGGGATGTTAAATCTGTCTGACCTAGCGTTTCCCCTGGCAAGGCTACTATTTCTGTAGTCGGCAAGCAGCTCTAACAGGCGTGTCTTGCCCTGTGGACGATCGATCACCTTAACATGTGGCGCTATTTGATCTATCCCGGCCAGTCGAGTCTGTTGGCAATTCGCAACAATACCTCGAATTGGGAATTTATTTGGTTGCACTTCGACATTGTTGTGATATCTAGAAAATCACACAAATAACATCCTTTCTTTAAGATTCACGATATTGAGAAATTGCTGCCGCAATCTCGTAGACTTGTGTGTGTGTCTTACAGCAGACACAGCTGATTCCAAGGTCCGGTGACTGGGTCAACGTTCAGAAAAAATCCCAAGTACAGCAAACCGCCGCTAATGGTGACACAACGTCATCCACAACACCATACCTCAGAATGCAGAGACCATCTCTCAGACCGGATATGTCATCATCACTAGGGTGGGTGCTGGGTGCTGGTAACTGGGGGTTGTTCACGCCATACGAAAGAATTTTGTTGACAGGACGTCGATTTATGAGTAGTCTCAACAACTGCAGTCACGTCCTGTCACACCCCGGGCAGTGAATGAATCATTTGCAGAAACTAATGTTCACTTCAGCTCACAGTATTGTTGTGTTGGTGAATTCCTCATTCTGGTAATGGAGAGTACTCTTCAAAATTGCAGGTACTATCTTCCAACTCTTGGTGCTGTAATCACGCTGGGAAGGCGTGCGGTCGAGGTCGAGATGTATCTCTGACGCACGATCCGCCTTCCTCTTAATAGGATTGGTAGACAACACTTTCGTCCTAGCGGTGAGCATAGGTTCAGAATGACTCTTTGCTGTGAAGGAAACACCTTTAAACGTAACACTATTATTACGTGGACGAACATCTATCACGTTCTTTCGAAGAGTCGGTAGACCAAGTAACCCGTCGGCTGGCAAATTCAACTGCCGAACTATATAAAAGTCTGCGTAGAAGGGCGTACCACGTCTTGAGAATCCGAGCGGTAACGTCACCATTCCTTTGATGCTCAGCCGAGTACCGGAAAATCCTTCGAGCTCAGCGTTACTAGGCCTCCATTTGAATTTGCGGTGAGGGAATTTACGTTGTAACTCGCGATATGATGTCAAGGCCAATACATTAGTGCAAGCACCTGTGTCTATATCAAGAGCCAATCTGGTATTATCCACTCTCACCGGTACTGACAACACTTCCACTTTGCTAAGCGCCGCTACTAATGAGGCCGCTATAGAAGTGCTGTGAGGAGGGGTGGGAATTATCCTATCTAAGTCAATAAGCTAAAAAATTTGGCTTCAAAAAAGCAGGTGCAAATGATGTAATCTCAGTTTGACTTTTGTACAAATGTATATACATTTGGGTAATTTAATCTAATTTAGCCTAGGTTCTGGCCGCTATTGGTTGCTGGTGCAGGTTTCACAATCTGTTTACGATAAATAAAGAATCTACCAACAAAGAAAATACGTTTTTGTTGACAGTGAAATACATTTATTTACACAAAAGTTAAGTACATGTTCAAAATATCAATGTTATACAATGCACATTTATTATATAGTTGTCATAAAGATACACTAATACAGCTATTAACATGTAAGTACAGTTACCTTGTCATGATCGCTAACCCGAAAACCTTAAGGATTCATATTACGCTCAAACGTCCACAAAACCCCGCGAGTCCCCCAGTGGAAACGTCCCCCGTTTCCCCGTCTTTGTTTGTAGGGAACTCTGAATATAATCCGTGGATTTCGTAGCAGACGCTGTATGTTGGGACCTGTTGCCATCTAACCCTTTGTAATCAATTTAATTTTGCTTTTGATAGTAGGGAATGAAACCGAGTTTATAGTCTCAGTTTCAACGTCAGAGTGTACAGTAAATTAATTCATCGGAATAGAAGTAGGTGGACTCCCCGGCCTATTTTGAGTGAGGGCGCCGCGGGCATTTCTACCGTTAGCGAGTGCCCGTCCCTTCATCCATACAGGTATGCCATTCCACTCTGTGTTGTAATTCGCCCTTCTTTAAGTGATTTGACCCAATTAATAGTTGATCGTGCAAGTAACGTAGTTGATATGCTCCGAGTGAAGTTGAATCGGCTGCTTGTCCAATTAACCAGTCCGTTCACACGTATTTATATTTGGGTTTTAAGTAACGAGACCCAAACGGTAGTTCCTTTGTTTTATTATAAAAGGTTGTAGTTATAATTCCTGAGTGTATATCAACCGTAAGTTTCACTGTCTAGGAGTGAACGAGAAAGGGACGGCGTTTACGTACGATAAACGTTAGGTCACGTCCTTTCGATACGAGTTGAGGCGAGCCACCGAAGCTTAGGGGCATCGCAGTGTGTGCTTACAGAAATGCCAAGCTATGGGTCTCGCTCTCTTGGGCGAGTTGCCCGCTCACGTGTCCATCTCATGTCTTACAGTGGAAAGTTACAGGGTGGTGAATCTGAATATAATATCAGATGTATTGACCCATTTATATAATACGTTCTGTTGACGAGACAGGGGCCTATTACAAAGTCATATTTATGTCTTTAACGTCCCCGTGTCCGGATGTTGTATCCACTAAGTCTGGGGAGATGTCCGAGGTCCAGTAGGATCAGTTACCTTCGTGAGACCCGGCCGTCAGACTACCCATGGCCCCCACAGCTGGCTCGTCGGGCCCTAACGCTCGGCCTGCGAGGCGACCCCAAGCCACACACCACTACCAGCCCCCATCAGTGGTGGATGAGTGTCTAACTCAGTAGGGCTATTTGTGTGGTGGGATTAATCCACCGGGATCTCCAGAGTTCGTCGGAAAGTACCCCACGGCCGTTGCTCGAGTATCACTCCCGACGACCGAAGGTGGTAGTGGCAGTTGCACCTGGTCTTTATGGTGCTAAGTGACTATAAGAGTGGTGTGTTATTGAGTATGTTCACCCAATAGGGTTGGAAGTGTTATTGAGTATGTCCACCCAGTAGTGGTGTGAGTATGTTGAGCCTGAGGGCCTAGTACTAGATTTCGTCTATTGGTACATATACATTTTCTCCTACTTTCATATTAATGTTTAAATAATTTTTGTATTAGTATATTGTGTCTATTATTGACCTACAGTATTTACCGTTATTTCTTCCCGATTGCTTGTTACTATCATTACACGAGCCTCTGCTACCAATGGTAATAAGTATGAGAGTAAAAGGAATTGTTACTGACAGGCCCTCATAACCTAACCCGCTCACTACGGTTACATTTTCTTTGACCGGGTTTTTTAGCAACTTGGCTTGTATTGGGGACTTAACACATGTGGCTTCTATCTTATTTGAAATACATTTTTTCCTGCTCAAAAAATCAGGTAAATATTTTGCTTTCTCGTCTTCACTCTTTTTTACCCAAACCTCTTTCTTTAGGACATACTTTCTGTACCGAGGCAAATTACCATTTCCATATAATGCCCTACGCAAATCTAACATTTGTAGCCTACTCACGCTACACAGCTTCTCAACCAATTCTGGAAGGTGTCCAGTTCACAGTCAATTTCAAAATATTATTTACAGATTCACAGTTATTATTTGTCCAGAGCTTTGCAGAAATGCCGAGGCTCACACACACACGAATACAATAATGGCTTCAAAATACGTTCTAAATGTGGGAAAATTCATAAAGTGGGGTTCTAATTTTAAAAATTTTTCCTCAAAACTAAGCAAATCATTACAGGTAGCCTTCACCAAAAATTTTATTTACAGTGGCAAGTCTCTCGTGTGCGTTACAACCAACAACGTGACACAGATGCCTGGAAACATTGTCTGTTTACTGCACACAATATACACTGTCTTTGGAAAACAACTCGTAATGGCTTTCATCAAGGCCAGTTCCTAATCACTGCCTATGCGTATTTCAATGGAGTCTACAAGTTTTGCTTTTAGGTGTGCAAAAAAGGAATGGTAAGTTTCGAAAGCACCATCTCAGTGTAAGTACATCGGTCCCAGAAAAATTAGAAAGTCACCTGACTCCTTATGTAACACCGATTTGTTCTTGTAGACTGTTGTCGTTACAAAGCACGCATCCACGTTAAATGTCCTAAAACACTACCAACACAAACATTCCGCTTCAAATCCTCCATCTGTTCTTTGGAATATAGAATAACACAAGGCGGCATCCCTTTCTTGCGAACACTCGCATTATCGTTTAGCACGGACAGCACATCATCCGCGATATTCGCTCTCTGTGGTCTGTCGTTTCTCGACTCATTGTATATCTTATTGCGAATCTGTTTAAAGTCTCTCGGTGCCTCCAACGAATTTTCTTCAACCATTCACCTCGCGGGGTGTCTTGCTTTTCATCTCCTCTCTAACACAGTAGGATTACTCCGTACGTACGCCCGGGTAGAATTTTTTGCATTACCATGTAACACTGTTGTGTCCACATAGACACCACCACCACAGACAAGCCATCAAACACACCACCCAACACCCGCTTCTTATATGAGGCGTCGGGTGGCGTAGTAACGGCGAAGCTTCGTCCGCGTGGCCGCGGAGCTAGCGGAAGCCGCTTCGATTTCCCTCCCACGCGACTCTCTGTACAATACACATTGTTCTTCAAATAAATTACTCTCGATCCACTATCACTATTTAGCAGAACGTAACTATTAACCGTGCTACCTTTGCAACTGTCCCATACACCACAGTCATCAACATAATCACTTCTCCCCTTCATCTTTTGTTTGGCAACGTTCACGACGAGGGAATATACAACGTTGTCGTTCTTAACGCCCAGATTTTAGAACGTCGACACAATGTAAGAAATTTGCCGGGAGATGGAAGTGTAGGAAAGTCGCAAATGCCATCTCGGTCGTCGGCACGGATGCGGACGCATTTCCGCGGACCGGATGTCTCTTCGGGTAAAGTCACGTCCGATACACGTACCTCCCGGCGGTAATAATCACACACGGGGTCGTCCTCAATTGGCGAAAGGGGTATCGGCGGTAGGTTTTCGTACGGAGCCGGTCTGTAATGCAAAAAATATATGTAAATCGGGACACTCAAATCCAAAAATTAGCATAAAATAAGCAAATGTATGGTATGCATTAAGGGAAGTTAAGGTAACTTACATGATGGGGTTGTTTATTGATATACAAAAAAAACATTAATATATCTCAAAGGGATGAAGTCATCCTCACCCCAGTCCAGGAATGTCCCTCTCAGGACTCACATAAATCCCTAATATTTCATATAATTAGTTATAATACATAGTTATATTCTAGATGCAAAATTTCTATATTTCTTTAATATTTCATTTATTTTCCCATTTGCAAACATCCACTCTATTTGCATGGGGACATTATTTATATGGGCATATTAAGCAATGGGCATTCCAGTATATAATGTGGGATCTGGATGTTCTACAAACTCTACATTCTTTATCCTGTTCATTTCTCTCAGCTGCCAATAATATTTATATCATAATCTTAATGTCATATACACCGAATCTTTCCCATATGTAAATTTTGTGTTCATGACGGTAATGTTCACTTTTCTGGTATTGATCGTATTTTCCGTAATTTGCTCCTTAATTGCTTCAAGGTTTTAGTACATATTACGTCGATCTCGGCCTTTTCCGCGGCTATTACATCTACCGCTTCAATCCCCAAGGGACCCATACAAATTGAACATTATGGCCATTTTTCCTTATTGTATTTACTAATTTTCTACATGAACCAATAAAGACTGGACTCTCACTGTTCAAAGAATCCAAAGCTGCCCTACTATCAACAAAAAAATATGCATCTTTATACCTCTTTACAACATTTTTCAATACTACTAACATTGCATATAACTCAGCTTGTGTTGATGAAATAAAACTGCTCAACCGAAGTCCAATTTTGATGTCAACATTTTCTTGTTCTGTGTAAGGATCCCGCACCCTGCCCTGACATAACTGAACCGTCACAATATGTGTTTAATTTAGGCAAATTACTAATATTATTAAGCCCTTAACTGTCCTGGTTCATGTAATGATTTCTTCATTGTGAGAGGCACTACGTCTAACTCTACATCTCGTTCTTCCCAGGGTGGATTCATACAACTTTTCTGAACAGCTGTACACCAGTCTGCCAGATTACATTTTTTAATAATAATCCATTCATGTATCCTCTCTTGCCTTGCCTGTAGAAGGTCCTTTTAAACCATCATTTATATCTTGTACAAATTTACCCCCACTGTTCCCTCAAACTGCTGCAACTGTATTAATTTCATTGACCCTCTGTAACCTTAGTTCCATTTTCATTATCTCAATCATTGCATTTTTTTGACACCCTAAAATTATTCTCATTGCACGATCTCAAGCTTCCGTAGCCTTCCTTCACCGGTACAAGAGAGGACAGGTGCTGCATAGTCGATCTGATGGTAGAAATATACATCATTCTCAGTATGGGTACCCCAGCACCTTTACCACAAGAGCCTTCAAGGGCTGTAATCTTGAGTAAGGAGTTGATATATATTTCTGCCTCTTTACTTTCACTAGTAAAGCCAATATACATTCCTAAATATTTATACTTGTCAACAATTTTTCCATTTAGAAAAACGGATTCAGTTCCTCTTCCTTTACATTCACACTTGGTTTTTTCTTCATTGATAACTAAGCCCACCTTTTGAGAAAGAACACTAAAATTATTTAGTAATGCAATCTGCAAATTTTTTACAGAGTTTTCTTGAAATAAGATATTTGTGTGATGTTATTTTGTTCATTAAATAACATTGGACACGACATCCTCTCCATCTCCTCCTTACTCTTTGACCTCATCTTCTCAGTTTTCCTCTCTTCCTCAGCCCTTTTCTTTGCCCTCTTCGCTTCCTTCTCCCTCTCTTCTTTCAGCTTGGCAGTCACAATTTTGTCAACGCCATCAATGCAGCCCTCCCTTCCCGGTTTCCTCTGGGCTGCCAGGAAGCTTTTCTCTCGTTCGTGCACTTTGCTGTCGTCTGCCACATCAAACAACTTCTCAGCTATATCCTCGAACCTCATCTTCAGCTTCCCGTTCTTCATTTTCTTCCTTTTCTGTTTCTGTCCATTTCCCTTCATCATCGTCGTCTCCCTCCGCATCCTCCACAGGTCGTGGACTCTCATTTTCACCCTGATTTCAGAGATAGTGGGGACAGTGGCCTTCCTATACACATCCAGTACCTTCTCAGTCACCTTGTTGGTGGCATCCATATAATCAAAAGCATTTGTTCTTCTCCTTAACCTCTCGTTTTCTGCTTCATAAGCCAGGGCACTTCCAACTTCCTTGTTCAGAGGCATCTTGTTAGATGGCAGAGGCATCCGAACCCCGAACACCTTATCGTTACCCTGGCGCAGCTGAGTGTTGCCAATCTTAGGACGACCCATCTTGGTGGCGGCCCTTTGAACAACACAGAAAAAACAACTTTCAGCACTTCAATATCACCACCTATTGAACAATATTTTATTCAAAAGTACGGACTGAGATTTTGTCCTTAACTGTCCAAGTCAAGGCTACTTGGGCTGAATTCGTTGATCAGTCCTGGGACGAATATTACCAATGGCGTGAATAGATTCCGTGGAATAAATTCAGGGCATTCCCGTCCAGGGAGCCTCAACAAACTCTGTAAATATTGCCATTGGCCTGCCATTGGCACATATACGGAGTTTGGTAATGTTCCATGAGCGGGAATGTCCTGAATTCATTCCACGGAATCTATCCACGCCGTTGGTAATATTGGGCCCTGGTTTTCGAAATATACCTATGTGGTGACTTGCAGCAAAAATATCGGCATAATTTGTAGCGCATTGAGTTGTAAAACAATAGCATATTATGAACCAGTGTACACAGTAGTCGAATAATCCAATTCAATAACTTGATTTTAACAGGTTGTGCCACATTGCCAGTCCCTTTATTATTTACAGTTTTTTCGCATTTTTCATGCCAAACCCAAAAGTATCCACAAACCTTCTAATGCAATGATGTAAAAAACTCAAACATATTCGGAATTAGCGTGGCCGATAGACAAATAATCCAACCCAAGCAATTAGATTTTGAAAACTTTTGCCAAACTGTCACTCCCTACTGCTCATGGACCATGTCTACTGCGTGCTTCTCTAGAATCGGCCAGTGTGCAGTGCCTCTTCTCATTGCACATTTATTCCTGGGCATACTTCGTAGTAAGTGTTCCTTTGATCTCCAATCCCGCACCATCTTCTCAGTTACACCGTATTCTCTTGAAGCAGCACAATTGTTGTGTGACTGGGCATATGCTATCACTTTCAGCTTAAAACAAGCTTCATATCTCATGCGTTTAACAATTGGAGCCATGGTGAGGTTTTGTGGTAGCTGGATACAGTATTAATATACCGTAGTGTTCACACGGAGAGAGTGCTATTGCTTATGGAGTGATTACTCAACAACTGGACAAGGCAAATGAGAGAAGGGGTATCACGTTTGGGGATAGATACCGTTACATGACCTGACGTGGTCACCTTACACATATATGGTAATCATTAAGAATCAAACTCCGAATCAGATGACCTGCCTTCTTCTTCATCATTGTCATCCTAAATTTACTACTGTCGGTAGTTAAAAGAATTAAGTCATTTATTGAATATTCTATGTAAAAAAATAAATGTTAAATTAATTATTTATAGGAGAAACGTATTATGATCAATAAATATATGGTATTACTGGCCACTTCAGACACAAAGACGGGATAAAAATAGCCCATCTCCCCCTCTTACAGCTGCCAATGGGAAGTGTGTTGGTAATTAAATTTGATGTTTATTTTCAGTTTGTCTAATTTATCATGTATCAAATTAATATTACTAGAAATTGTGTAGGTAGTAGGCAGCTACCAAACAGGGAGGTACTACTGCCTGGGAAGATATTGGAAGCATAATGTGTTGTCTAATGGTAGACCCTGCTGCCATATGGCATCACGAAAATTGTGACCAAGTCCCAGGTTGCTGACCTGACTTTCTGCCTCATTTACACAATTGCAGTTTCAATTGTTCCTCTTACTTTGACAACACAACATACATACAGTATATTATTTCTCACTTTTGATCTTTTTTTTTAATTTTTGTATATATTTATAGTTAGTTACTTAAAATAAGGCCAATTCATTTCAAGTAATGGCATCAAATGTAACCGGCTGGTGTAGTGTAAACACTAGTGACGTCACTTAAGCGTCTGTAATTAACTGTCGATAGTTTCAAGAATTAACGCACTCATTTACTGAATATTCTTTGTAAGAAAATAAATTTTAAATCAATTATTTATAGGAGAAAATATTATTATCAGTAAATATACCGATACCCGGTATGCATTACTGATCACCTCAACGGCTAAAAATAGCCCAATCTCGCGGTCACTTTCCCTTTCTTGTCTCCTCACTGGCAAATTGGGGGGGGGGGAGCTGTGTGATGATAGCAGCTGTGTTTATTACAGGGTATGTTAGAGAGGTTTATAATACATTTTTATTATTTTAATATACCGGTAATCTTAATTTGAATCCAGCTTGCCAAACGTAAGTTTCAGTATAAAATAATTACTGGTAGGACTTTGTGAGTGGCTTACGATGTTTCCATCACCACTCTTGACACAATATTTAAGATGTAAGAATTTTATATTTGTTGCTTAAGACGACCCCCTAACTTTGGGCATATTTTTTTAATGTTCAAATTTCGTCTTATAAGCCGAGATATACGGTAATCTATTTTGATCCTTAGTGTTAGTGCAGGAGGAACCAGGGTACCTGGAAGAAACCAGTGACGTTTGGTAGGGTCACACTGGCTAACACCCTTCTCAGGTCTGTCCTGGGATCAACTTGAACCCAGGACATTGATTCAGATATATGCACATTTCTGGGGGAATTCCCCCTGGTTGAGAACCCCTGCTCTATAGGTATGTATCCCTGCAGCAACACTTCTGCTAAAAATCTGTGAAACTAAACAAAAGAATGGCAATATATGTTTTGTGCTGAGCCTTGGAGCAAGGCATAGGCACATGGAGCTACAGTATCTCTTGTTATAATAATCTTGTATGTACTTCCACTTTTCAATTTTATCAATGATTGCAAAATTATACAGTTGGTCCTCACATTAAGCGGTCCCGCATTCCGCGTTTCACCGTTAACGCGGTGCCTTGCCAGAACCTAACATTCTTACATTCCGCGGTCGCGAACGCCATTACGCGGAGAGCGGCTGGCAAGCCGCGCCATTTTTGGATCCAAACCTCCCGCCATCTGCCATGTTGTGTAAGAGGCCCGAAAATGGTGCGCACAAGGTCGCCCAGTCATCAAAACATTACCGAGTTCTTTACCCGCCACCCACCACAACCGGCCCAAGTCAGTGATAGTGATAATTATAGTGAGGATATGGACTTATATGACTTTGGGGTTTAACAAAGAGGCCCTGCAAGCCTCTGTGGTGGATAGTGATACAATTGATACCAGTGATACAGGTGAGGGCCAATAATCTGCCCTCTGCCTCGGAACCAACCCCCCATCCCCGTGTGCCCAGCCATCTTTTCTACTAATGTAAGTGTTAAAAAACCTAATATTATTGATATTTCTCTTAATTATTAATTGTGTGTGCATGCCATCATAAAGTTAAGATAATATTTTTACTACAACATACAGTAGTTGTGTGTCGTCAAAAAGTGGAGTTTGGGGATCGGCCTGGACTCCATTTCAATTAATCCCATATGTTATGTTGTTCACTTTACGCGTTCCTCACTTTCCGCGGGACCCTCTGGGTTACATTAACCGCGTAATGTGAGGACCAACTGTACTTCATTAAATTATTTTGTACAATTTTAAGGAGATGTGTAGCATGTTACAAATACAGTAGGTTCTCAAATTGTGCGAGTTTTTATTTTGACAAAAAAAAAACACTACACATTTTCAAATTTCGACTGGTTTGAGCGGCCCGCCAACGTTCAGACATGCACAATCGTGTAACCCTTCATTTTTCTTATGTACAAAAGATTCATTATTGTTTATTACTGAATGTCTTTTTGATTGAATTAATGTTTGTGTGCAAAATGAACAATACAATTCATTAATAATACGTAGAATATTAAAACGCACGAGGAGACGAGACGGCATTGTTTTTGTTATTGTTTACAAAACCAGTGACTGACTGGTTCTACATATAAAACTGAAGAAAATAAGACCCTGGTTGTAGCTGTAGTAAAATTAATTGGTTGTTTTAAAGAATGTTATTTAATGTTAATAAATGGAACATTGGAAGTAGCTAACCATTAATGGTAGATTCCACGAAGCTCCTCGGCGTCACCATAGACAACAAACTAAATTGGAAACCACACGTCAGTAAAATTGTCAAATCCTCCAGTTTCCGTCTCCACCTCCTCCGCCGACTCGAGTCCCTCGGAGTTCCTGCACCCGAGCTCCTCAGTGTTTACACAACATTCATACTTCCCAAGCTCACCTATGTCTCCCCCAACTGGTCTTCCTCCCTAAATGCCACACAATGTAAACACCTAGAAAAAGTGCAAAAGAGGGCATGCAAGATTATTCTCTCCCCTTCCTACTCCACATATCAAGAAGCGCTCAACACACTGACCCTTTCGACTCTCACTGACCATCACCACGACCTCATCTGCAAATTTGGTAAGAAGCTTCTACACCATCCTCGACACCGGCTCCTACTACCACCTGAGATCCCTCGCCCGAGAATTGCTGTTCGACACCACAACCGCATCCAGCCCATACGTGCACGAACTGTTCGCTATAAGAACAGCCCAGTCCCAACCATTGTAAAAATTATCAATAACTTGTAATAAACCAGTGTATTCACTCCCAGTAAACACTACTCCTTGCACTGTCACTATGTGGAAATGAACTGTAGTTTGAGCTTTTCCCCATCTAGTTATTATATATCTTATTTGTATCACTTATGTTACTTGTATATTATTTGTAATTCGAAACCCATTCCCCAAATATGTAACTGTATATTTTCAGCCTTCTGGCTGCCAAGCTCTTTCAATAAACCGTTAATTATTATTATTATTGTTATTACATGTAAAAACATTGTCATGATCGTGATGACGGCTAACCTGAAAACCTTAAAGATTCATATTATGCTCAAACGTCCACAAAACCTTCCGAGTCCCCCAGTGGAAATGTCCCCCGTTTTCTCTGTTTCCTTGATGACGTCATCGATAGGCCGTCATTGTCTAAAGGGAACTTTGAATATAATCCACGGATTTCGTAGCAACACGTTGTATGTTGTGACCTGTTGCCATCCAACCCTTTGTAATCAATTTAATTTTGCTTCTGATAGCTCAGTCAGAGCATTGTCAGTGAAGATAATAGTTGGGAATGAAACTGAGTTCATAGTCTCAGTTTCAACGCCAGAGTGTACAGTAAATTAATTCATCGAAATAGAAGTAGGTGGACTCCCTGACCTATTTTGAGTGAGGGTGCCGCGGGCATTTCAACCGTTAGTAAGTGCTCGCCCCTTCACCCATACAGGTCCCTAACGCAGCCTAGGCCGTGTCTGTAGCGTGGATGTTGTATCCACTATGTCTGGGGAGATGTCCGAGGTCCAGTAGGATCAGTTACCTTCGTGAGACCCGTCAGACACTTCAGACTACCTATGGGCCCCATAGCTGGCTCGTCTGACCCTAACGCTGGCCCGCGAGGTGACCCCGGATCACCAAGCCACACACCACTACCAGCCCCCATCATTGGTGGATGAGTGTCCAACTCAGTAGGGCTATGGTGTGGTTGTGTTATTCCACTGGGATCTTCAGAGTTCGTTGGAAAGTACCCCATGGAGACAGGACCCCATGGCTGTTGCTTGAGTATCACTCCTGATGACTGAGTATTGTAGTGGCAGTTGTCCCTGGTCTTAATGGTGCTAAGTTACTGTAAGAGTTTGTGTTATTGAGTATGTCCACCCAGTAGTGGTGTGAGTATGTTGAGCCTGAGGGCATAGTACCAGTTTTCGTCTGTTGGTACATATATATTCTTTCTCCTACCTCCATATTAATGTTTAAATAAAGTTTGTATTTGTATATTGTGTATTATTTACCTACAGTATCTACCGTTATTTCTTCCCTATTACTTGATACTATCATTACATATACCCACGAGCCTCCTCTCGTCACGCTACCAATGGTTATAAGTATTAGAGTAAAGGAAAATGTTATAAGAGGCACGGCCCTTATAACATATCGTCATTACTCCACATAAGAATATGAAAGCAACATTTATTTACTCTTCATAAATGTTTTAATTAGTGTTTCTGAATTTAAAATAAAAATGCTACCCACCAGTGGTGGTTAAGTTGAGA